ACACACACACACACACACACACACTCACACACACACGTATCACCTTATTGCTCCCTTTTTCAATGCATGAAAAACACACAAAGAGCTGAACCAGATGTTCAGGTTCTCATCTGAGAACTGATTGAATGTTAGCAAAATAAGTGTAAGGACAGGGCTCGACAGTAACGGTTGCCAGGTTGCCATTGGCAACCATTCAGAAAAAATTTCAACCACTTCTTGGCCTTTGGTTGCCATCAGTGGCAACCAGTTTTTAACATAAAGAAATAAGGACAGCAAAATGTGCACCCCAAAATAGATAAATGTTAATTATTTGTTATATTAAGAGTGATATTTAATTATTGTTGTGACCAGTCGGAACCTGATACTTAAGTTGCACGTGCATTGGTGTGATTACAGAGCCAGAAAGCGATGCACATTTACTCGCGTGCGCGGTGCGCCGTGTGTTTGTTTTGCAAAAAATGGCGACGCAAATTAAGTTGTTTGACTGTGGGGTCAAAAGTCCGGCCAACCCGTCAACATCTCAAACCAATGTTCAAAGTGATTCAACTGATAAAGTGCAAGGTGAACCCGAACGAAAAGCAAAGAGGAAATGTGTAAAGTCTTGGGAGGCGAAACATTCTGCTACGTTGTGCATTCACTTCCGGAAAAAGTTCCTTCAAAAATAAGAGTCCCGATCTTATTACTACCAAAATAAAAGTGCAAAACGAAACTTTACCATAGGAACATATTGGCATACAAATATAATCACTTCTATAAAAAGGTAACTCATGTTAAATATAGTTAGACATATAAAAGGTCATTTACAGCATTAATAATTAATATCTAATTCTTAACTGTGAATGGTTTTCATTTATTTAACATTAGAAATGTATTCATCTGGCCAATCCAAGACTTCAATGCTGAAGGGCCAGTGGATCTATGGTGGGATCAGCACAAAGGTCAAGAAAACATTTGAAAGGGAGACAACGGATGACCAAGGAACTAGTGACTTGCTCAATTCATTTGTGAGGGATCTGTGAAGAAAGTGACAACAGCTGCACTACTGGTATTTTGTATACCAGCAATTGAGGGTGGACAAGTTTACTACCACTTAAGCTTCAAATAATTGTGTTAATTACTTAATGTAAAGCATTTGAACATTCTTTTGTGTCCCATTTTCATTATTAAGTTGATGTATAAGTGTATAGTATCTTAATTATTTAAAATATAAGGTGACTAAAAATGGCAACCATATTTTCAGTTTTGGCAACCAAAAGCTGATGCCTGGTTGCCAGCCAGGCAACCACTTAAAAAAGTTAGTGTTGAGCCCTGCTTCACTCTTTGGGCTTAGATCAGTAGTTTAAAGGGGACATCTCCTATATGGTGTAACTGATATGAAATGACACATTTAAAGAATGTATAACAATGAAGACGGAAGTAGACACTGCTTTTGAGTACAGGGGGTCAAGCCAAAATATCTATTTTTTATTTATCTTTTTGTTTATTTAGCTAATATTTTGTATGTAAAATCTTTATCGGGAAAAGTGACTAGTCACTCCACCTGTGAGTTAAAAGTATGAAACAGCCTAAAATGAACATTTTCATTTAATGTTGAGTCTAATACTCGAGTAAACGTACTTTTCTCAGCAGGTTTGTGTCTGTTTTCCATTGTTTATTTATTTTTTAACCCTATCTCTCATCCTATTGCATTGTATTTCCTCCTCAGGCTTTTTAATGTTCTCTCACTCACATTCACCCTAAAATATTTTTTATTTACTACATTTTTCTCATCTCCCTACCTTCAAGTGTGTGTGTGTGTGTGTGTGNAAGCTTCAAATAATTGTGTTAATTACTTAATGTAAAGCATTTGAACATTCTTTTGTGTCCCATTTTCATTATTAAGTTGATGTATAAGTGTATAGTATCTTAATTATTTAAAATATAAGGTGACTAAAAATGGCAACCATATTTTCAGTTTTGGCAACCAAAAGCTGATGCCTGGTTGCCAGCCAGGCAACCACTTAAAAAAGTTAGTGTTGAGCCCTGTATAAGGATATACTCAATATAAAAAAGACAACTTTTTGTGAGAATTTTTTGTCTGATTGCCATGCAGTCATTTGGCACTTTCACACCAAGTACTTTGCCATACTTAGTTCATTAGAACTTAGTTCATCAGAACTCTTTAGTTTGCGTTCACGCCGGAATAAGTCCCTGAGGGAGGATTAGGCAAATGAAGCCACTGACGTCACTTCTTCTTCTGCTTTGGGTTTACTGGCAGGCAGCAAACAACTTCACAGCGTAGCCTATACTACCACCCGAAGTCCCCGGCCGGAAGTCCCCAGAGTCTACTGAAGCTTTCCGAGTAAATCGCCAGAAACGCCGACACCTCCTCATCTCCACCGCTCCCATGTTTTCTTTTGTGTTGCCATAAGTTAGTCTATCTCCGTTTGTGCGCTGGGCTAATGCTAATGCAAGGAAAATAAAATGGCGGCTTTACAAAACTTTTCGGAGTTTTACGGGGCGTGGTTTGCAATCCACCCAGCCAGAAATGGGAACCTTTTTCTCCCATGAAAGTACCTGCTCTTTAGCAGGGACTGAAAAGGGGTGAAAAGGTTCTCATGAACTACTGTAAGTTCTAGTTCCGGATTTTTTTGATGTAAACGCACATTTTCGGAACTATACTGGGAAAAGTACTCCGGTGTGAAAGCGCCTATTGCTGTTTTTTTTTTACTATATGTGGTGCTTTCGGTTTATTACAAATATATTTTCTTATGCTGTAAAATCCTTCTCCTTTTCTCCTACGTTGTTTCACTTGAATGATCTTTTACGCAATACATAAAAAAAAGAAGCATTTTTAGGAATACACTGCTGTTTATGTTTTGTTGTATAAATAAAGCACCAGACAGGAAACAAACATGCCCCAATTATTACTGGAACCCTGTGTGAATGAGTTCCTCGCTGGTATGAAGCAGCCCTCCCGTGTTGAGAGGAGATCCCTCCGTGCTCTAGAGGTGTCTCAGACAGGCGTGTTGCCTCACCTGGTCCTGTGTTTACCTCAGATGGCGGGATTAGGATACAGCCATGTGAAAGATATGCACCTAATCCATCGTGCATTTACTTGGCACTCAGACACGGCCCTCCTCAACACTTCCGCTCTCCTAAAGGTAGAGCAACGCCCTTGAGGAATGTGAGAAATATCAACAGCATTTGGAGACTTCGAGTTTGATATATAATATTTTGACAACCACAAATCAGGTGCAGTTTGCCTTGTTGAAGAGGGTGGGCTGTTTGGAGATCAGTGCAATGGGGTGTTAGGATTCTTTCTTATAGCATTTCTCTAGCAGTCACCAACCAGCTGACAGTTAGATTCACTAGATGGATAAGTGCATCATATACTGTCCAAAACAGGCAATAACTGACCCCTAAAGTCTTTGCCAAACATAGTTTAATATACCTTTTTCATTTGATTTATGACTGACTTCTTGATATTAAACTATTTTAAACCCACAGTAGCACTGTGCTACATAGCACATACGTTGTGCTTTGAGTCACTGCTCTGTCGCAACAACCCTTTTTTTTCTCCAATGGATAAATACATCTGTTTATATTTTTGAAGCAGAGTGCTTTTTTAATTTAAATAAATGAACTTGTCACATGGAGGACTTAGCAGTACATACATCATATGTGTTACATTTGTGCACCTCGGCACTTTATGAAGATAGCAAATGAAACATAGAGCTTCCACGTTAACAGTATTTTCTGTCGTCACAGTATCTCTAACGGCCCGTCCACACAGCGGCGTGCGTTGAAAGCTTCACCATTAACTTTGAATGGGGTGACGTCACTTTTCACCGAACTGCATTGTGGGAAGCGGAGCTTTGCTGGCGTGGCTCGCTGCAAAAGTTGAGCAATGTTCAACTTTTGAAGCCTCGGCAGAAGCGTCAGCCAATCGAATCATATGCCAGTGCAAGTTCTAGCCAATCAAACCGCTGCTTGGGTGTCAGGGGCGGGAGATTCATGTGATTGGTTGTTGGTCGAGTTTCAGACACGCCCGCCGGCAAGCTTCAACACACGCCGCTGTGTGGACGGTAACTCTGATTCTAGACAATTCAAAGTTCTGTTGATATTCCAAAATACTTTTCTTAAGGCATTATTTAAAAGCGATGTAATAAAACAGTTTGATATTTCATACTCTTGCTCATTTATTGAAACATTGAATCACAATCATCAAGTAAATAATAAAGGCACATTTGAGGAAGCCCACCTACTGTCCTATGATAACAGTTTCACACAGGTCAAGCGACATGGGACAGGTCTATAAATGATTGTGCATATCCTTTATTGTCATTATTTATCACCATTCAGGAGACCATAGTCCTGTGAGAGTTTACAGCTTTATCGTCACCCTGGGTTCTTGGTCAGAGGACTTGCCCTTGGTGCATAATCACATCACCTCCATCTTTAACGATAGAAAGCAAAAGTCTTATTTATCCAATGTGCTGATAATTAGGCCTTTCTCATTAGTGACATAATTGCAAATGTAATTAGCAATAGTAATAATTATTGCTTTTAATACCTTTTCTCTTTAGTTATCAGGCTCATTCAAACTGGTAATTAGCAGTCATGAGAATTTCATACTTTTGTTCTAATTCATTTTGGTCACTAATTATTTCAGTTTTATTTTACATCAATAAATCATCACCACATTCATTTAGATTTTTCAATAAACAAAACAAACACTGTGCTCGCCCACATTTAGATTAGTTTTTTGAGTGCCATTGCTGCATTGCACGTGTCACACCAGCAAGAGGGACATAGTCAGATCTCGGTCACACTTGGATTTTAAACTGTCAGGACTTTTGGTTTTCACCTGTGAGACTTGTAACCTTTTGCACCTATTTGTACCCCAATGGGTTACTTTACAACATAACAAATGTTCCAAAAAGATCACTGCCTTTTAAATCTGTCATTTTAAATAAACTAAATGTGATGGTAAACATCTGTTCTATGTTTATCTACAGAATTCATATGGCAGTAGAATGAGCATCGGGCAGAAGCGATAACGCCTCCGGATTCAAAGTGTGTTCAACAAGAAGGTGAGTTTTAATCTTATATTCTCATCAACCAATACTTGCTATGAATGTAAAACATAAGTATACAAAAGCTAATGTAGTGATTTGGCGCAGATGTCTTTGTTGTCATTGAGAGGTCAAACAAACTGATTTTCTTTTATTTGTGTGAAAAAGCATTTCACAGTTTGTTGAAACAGTTCCCGTCATTGAGGTTCAAATGAGTGTATCATTGCCTTTTTCAAAACACACATTTTGGCTCGTTATGCTCAGTATTGGTGTCTCTGCTCCATGTTGAAGTCGCACCTCTGTTTCGAGGAACAACTTAATTGCACGCAAGCAGCACGCACGAGTCATGATACCCCAAGGCCTCGATTAATTAAGCTATGAAAACCCACGAGCAGAGAGCATTCAGCAGGTGCCTGTTTGCCTTGGTATGGGACTTGTTTTTGGCAGTGGTGCAGTGGCTCATTATAAATCTATAATTAAGTTACAATTTTATTTGCTTCTTTTTTTTTTAACATACTGTCATAGGGGATCAACATGGCTTAAACTCAGATTCTGTTAAGTGCACTCTTGTCTATATTGCTATTGTATCGTCTTTTCTCCCTCAGAAACGATAGTACATACAAATATCTGAATAAGAGGATGGTAGTGATGCTGTGTGTGTCAATCCTTGGTTCTAATCCTACAGGTGCTTTTGTTTTCAACTTGCTGTCGAGGCACATCTTGTAATTCTTAAAATCTCTTGATTTCCTCCTAATCCAAAACAAGCTGATTGCCCCCTGCCCTTCTCCTACCACCCTCTGTATCTTAGCACAAAAACAAACATGGCACCCTCCTGCCGGCTGAAGGGATGGTCCTCAGATCCCCCACAGTTCAGTTTATCCCGTGTCGGGGTGTGCTGGCAGCACTAAGTGAGTGCGATGAAGCGGCTCTTTCTGGGCAACGGCTGTTATTGTGAGTCACCTGCCAGCAGAGAGGGAGGGTGAGATGCACAGCAGGGGCCTGAAGGAGGGATGAGCAGGGCGGTGGGAGAGAATCCCCCCGCCTGCAGGGTGGTCAGAGTGAATGAGAGTCACCACCACGGTGCTAACGTGTGCCAAGAGCTCGCTCAAGCTAACAATGCGGCCTGTGGAGGGGCAGACTGGGAAGGAAATTGAGGTTAACAACATAGTTGCATATTAAACAGCTCGTCTGTGCGCACAGGATGTGGAATGGTTAATATTTCAATAGTCAAGCATGTTATTTAGTAATACAAACTGTAAGAAATTGTATTAAATCAAAACATGTGTGGTTCGTTTTGGATATGCTATTCTAAGGAACTAAGGATTAGAAAGACATTGATGTAGCGATTTGCTTTGGAAGGCTTTAGTCAGGACAATATTGAGTTATTAGTAAAAACTTGACTTTTTTTTACATCTGTATTAAGTCACAGATTTCTAAACAGTTACAATACAAATGCTCATGATTCAAGTATCGTCGGTCAGTATAAATCAATTTCTGTATTCAACAATCTAAACAGTACCCTTAAATGTGACTTGTCAGTAAGTGACAAGGCAGCAGGTGTGAATATCATGAGTTTTCCTAAGTGCTAGTGGTACATTACATTGGTGCAGGTCTTAGCACTGGTTTGCACAGCTCCAACCTTCTTAGTGAATCTCACCGCTTTCCTTTACTCTTTCCCCCACTGTGCTTTACCCAGGGGAGAGACGCCTTCTACGTGTTGTAATAAGGGTAGCTGATATAATGAAGGTCATTGTAATCAGAGCTAATGTGCCAAGGAGTCAAGACACTGTAGCTTTATTTGCCAGCAAGGCCCGACATTTGGTACCCATGGGGATCAGGCTGATAGTGTTATCTTTGCTAACCTGACTCTAATACAGGCCTTGCTCCGCTGTTTGTGTCAGGGTCTGAGCTGAACTTTTCCCAGTGATCCCCTCCATGTGTGCATGGGCATGGATTGGGCTCCTCTCCGCACAGTCCTGGTTAAATCCCCTCCCAAGGTGTTTGGCTTCTCTCAGTTCACACACTGCATTTAAAGAGCTGCTCCCTCTCTCTGACTGTCTGACTCGGAAAACACACTGGGCTCACATAGGCGTCGATTGAATGTACTTGACATAGAAACATTGCATTGGCGTCTGCTGAGGACTGGCTCGTAAGCGATGACCTCTAAATCTAATCCTGTCCCTCAGGATATGCAAATGTCCTCAGCTCAAATTTGATTTGTTTTTTGTCAGTTCAGGACACAGCAGTTTGTTTACAACTGTTATCTAACGCAGTGTAAAAAACGGATGGTGCACATATGTAGCCTTTCTTCATAAGATGTTTTACAACCTTGCACACCAGACTGTTTTATTAAGGTCTTGAATAAATGTACCCTGAACTTGGAATGTTTTTAACTAATCATTCCGCATCACGATAAATGCATTACAAGATACGAGATCAATTATAAAGCGAGGCTATGATATCAAAATGAAATTCTGATGAAATCATCCACCAGCAGTAGTGAATCATGTACTGTAATTACTGTATTAAGTGATTGTTGAGGTTATTTTGATTATTGGTTGAAAGAGAATAATTAAACATGTTGGAATATAAACAGAAGGCAACTAAAGTTTTGCAACTGTCTTGGACCAAGACAGTTGCGAAACTTTATTTGCAGAACTGGCAGTTCATCATTTTTCATGCATGGGAATTTGACCTCAGAGGCCTGATGACCACCATGTGACTGGATATCAGAGACCCCAAAGAAAACACATCTCTTAATGGTATCCTCTCCAGGTCTTATTACCATTTCTCTTATTTTCTCTTTTTTAATTTACTGCGTTGTGTAAGAAACATCAAAGGCCTTTTTTCCTTTTCATGTAGCACCTCTAGAAAAAAATGCTACCCATATCTAACCCCATGCCGGTCCCCTGGTCCCATCATTCAAACTTCCAAGCCTCTCTTTGTGGCTTCCTAGAGGACCACGGTCAAATGATCTCTTTTGTTTCGCATCATTAGTTCCATCTGTTGTGCACGCAGGCCTGTCTGTTCCGGAGCATGGCAACGTGATGGTCGCCAGGGGCGATTGGAGACGCTACCGTCCCGGTGGCTGGGGGCTCGACCTCCGCCACCACCGCTGCCTCGTCCGTGATCCCCATGACACTCACATTCGCCTGACTGTTTTACTTATTTATTCATACATCTGGGAAAATAGAAGCAAATGTCTGCTTAATATGCAGTTAATTGAGTTGCTTTATTTAAGAAAGACTTTCAGTTTTTTAACCTCATAGGGAATCACTGTGAAGCAGTTTATAAGAAGAAATACACTTTTCAAACATTTGTAATCCCTCCAATGTGATCGTATGCAATGACTTCAAAGGGAATACACTACAATTCAATTCCCACTACTATTACAATTCAATTGTCCACTCTGTGTCAGAAATAGGCTTTAATAGGTCATATTTGTGTGCCTTTTTTTTGCAGTCGGGGTAAATGATGCACAAACAGATGTAGCATTTTCTCTAAACAAGGAAATATTTTATTCATGATTAACATGAATGATAAATCTTCAGAAAGTCTTAGCGCTGATGGGCATACACAATTTAACATCTGTCTTCCTCAGAATAATTAATCACATACCAGAACACTTGGGACCCAGTGTTAGATTTTTCCTCTCACTTTACTTGATCTAATTACTTCTTTAAAAGCAAAACACTCTCTAAAGAAGCCTGGAATGATAAACATACTATGCTCAGCTAAAGATACAATCCAGGAAACATGTCTAAGTCTTAGCCCCACCACTATAAAACCATGCAAACCCCACCATACCTTTGACTGGAAAATATGGCCTTACGTTCTAATTATAATTCGTAATTCCCAAATGAATAATTCCATAATGTCTCCCTAGTGAATTGCTCTGGCCTTATCACCATAGTGTGAATGTACAGCACAAGGGCATCTGTGTGCATGTCAATGCGGAGATCACCAGATCATTTTCATCCAAGACGGAGCCATCAAAGGTCACAGCCATCCAAATGACCTGACCTTGCAATGTAACACCTGGGTGTAAAAGTGGACTCATCCTATCTACCGGGATGGCTGTAATGTACCTCTAATGTATAAAGTGCGGAAATAAAACAAGAGTTATACAGTAGGTTGGTGGAGGAGGTTCAGTGTGGGCTAGAGAATACTGTAATTCTATAGGGTGAAATAGCTGTGTTGGTATCACCCGAGGTGACAGGCTATTGCCAAAGTGCTGTATTTGTTGGAGCCATTATGAAATAAACTCTTCGAAAAAGGGCAATATTCACTTTGAATTGATTCCTGGAAAACTCCAGAAGTGAATATGCTTTCATTTGATAGTATTACTATGGACAAAATGTGTTGTGTCAGTTTCACCTCGCCATTACTTTGCTCCATTAAGGCAAAACCGACTGATTTTATTTCTGCTCAGTCTATTTTCTGTGATAAAATGAAAATCGGAGAGCTTTATTAAGTCTGAGTGACACCTAAAGCTGAGAGCCAACAGGAAAATAAGTCATGTGGGATCTAGTTTCAGTTCATTTTTGCTCAATTCCCATCTCCTGATCAAATACTGCGCTCTCCAGTAGGGGCCTAATGGGAGTGTCAAGTTCAAAGAGGCCCTCTCTCTCCTCTGACTCCATTACCTGATAACTGCACTGGTTTGGGCACTTATTTGCACAGTGCAGTGAAGCTATGCTTGTGCTGTGTGCACATTTGTACAAGGTTATAAGTGAAGCAACGTTGAGGCCATTTTATTAATTTTGACAAATCTTCCCTGTGCCTGCGTCCAAGTTGCTATGGCCACTAACCCATCTCATTTTCTTCCCCGTACTCAGACTATTTGAGCTGTTCTTTTTAGTGTTGCTCCTCTTTAAGCCAAACAAACATGACCACTGATGTCTTGGGTTCAGGGCCTTTCAAACAACCTTTCAATAATACAAGCTCAGCTGTGAGACATGCAGGATCTCTCATGCTGGGCAGCCCCGCTGAAAATACCCTCCCTCCTGTTTCAAAGCCATC